AAAAAAAAAAAAAAAAAAATTACCTAAGACATTTCTCAACTGCATTTTCATTGGCCTATGAGGCCATAACTGAAATTTTATATCATACATTGCTCATTCTTACTTTAATCCATTAGGGAATTAAAAAAAAAAATAAGAAAATGTTGAAAAAGATTGATTAAGAACTCAGAAAAATGAAAGAAGAATGACTAAAAACTAGCTGATGGGGGCACTTGGCTAGCTCAGTTGGTAGAGCATGCAACTCTGATCTTGGGGTTGTGAGTTCGAGTCCCATATTGGGTATAGAGATCACTAAAAAAAAAAAAAAATGAGTAAACTTTAAAAACAACAACAAAAACTAGCTGATGGATGTTCAGGTGTTATTACTTAATATCAAAACGATGAGCGGTTACCTTTTATTATATACCTATTTAAGGCTAGACAACTCTACTATAGGTATGGTTTATGTAATATTTCTAATAGTCACAATTTTTCGAGATATCTTTAACATTATTCCTATTTTATAGATGAGGAAGTTGAGACGCCGAGGTTAAGTAACTTGTTTAAGATTACACAGAGGGGAAAATGTGGTGCCAGAATTTAAATCTGGGGGTAGTTTGGCTTCAGATTGGACTTTTGTTGTTGTTGTTCCTGTTATATTTCAAACCCCTACTTTTTAAGTAGTTAGAATACAAAAGTAAAGCTTATAAAGTATGTGAACTCCATCCATATGATTACTATCATTCATGTAATTCTCCTACTCGATATAATTAGGTTTGTAAATATGACACTATTTCCTGTACTATAATTTAGGTAATTATACTACTCAATTTAATTACCTTTGCAAGCTTGACATTGCATGTTGCATTAGATCTTTTCCACATGAGTTGGGTTCTACTCCTGGCTTCACTTCTGAGTTTCTGTGTGAATTTGAGAAAATTATACTTCTCTCTGCCCCAATTTTCATATTTGTAATATTGGAATAATGAGCCTTTCAAGATTCTCCATAGGGACATTTTCTCCATGGACAATTCCAGATGGAAGAAACACATCATCATCATTGTCACCAAGAGCTGAAACATTCAGTCAAAATAATCTTGGCAGAAAATGGGAGGAATACGTTTCTTTTAAAATCTACACTTATTTCCTTTTCTGTGAGAAGGGGTACAGTAATTCTATAATAACAGTATAAAACCTGTTATGTGCAATTCTAAATGAGAAAAATGTAAGAATATGGTATTGATTTTAGAGACCGTATAGGCTATTTTGTGTTCTTTTCTATGTTACCATGTGAAATTTTGCCATTTCTTTTTTTTTAAACAGACTGATAAAAGACTTTCATAGTATTCAATGGTAGCTATATATCCATACATAAAGACACATACATGTATATATATATATATATATATATATATATATA